TGGCTCAGAGGATAGAGCGTTGGCCTGAGGATTGAAGGGTCCGGGGTTCGATTCTGGTCAAGGGTACATATACCCAGGTTGTGGGCTCAGTCCCTAGTGAGGTACGTGCAGGAGGCAGCCGATCGATGATTCTCTCTCACCATTGATGTTTCTATCTCTCTGTCCCTTTCCCTTCCTCTCCGAAATCAATAAAAATGCATTAAAAAAAGAACATGGATCAGCTGCATAATATTCACTATTACATGGGCCTGTATCCATATAGGCCCATATAATAGTGAATATTATGGATGGACCATATTCCTTGTTAAAATATACTATCTATACCAGGGGTGGGCAAACAGCATGGATGGAGTGTTTGTGTGAACTAATATAAATTCAAAGTAAACATCATTACATAAAAGGGTATGGTCTTTTTTTTTTTTAGTTTTATTCATTTCAAACGGGACGGATCCGGCCCGCGGGCCGTAGTTTGCCCACGGCTGATCTATACCCAATTGCTTTTATTATTATTATTTATTTTTTTTAGTTTTTGAACTTTAAAGATCAGATTTATTTGGAGAAAAAAAAAACAACCCACAACCCAAAGGATGGGATTCACATCTCAAGACATCTCCCAGGTAGTTAGTCTACAGATTACAAATCATTTTTATAGAAGATATTTTTGTACAAATTTTACATGTATTGAGTAGGACATCAATCCCTGTTTCTGTTTTAATGGGGGGCCCGATTGCTTTTAACTACCTGAAGTAGTTAAAAAGAAATTACCCAAAAATATGTGAGAAAGGAGCTTTACATAATACACATGAGAGCATCTAGAGAGAAAAAGCATGCTTATGATATTTAAAAAACACACATATTGGAGTATTATAGAAAGCACTAAATAATAATTACCAAAATAATGTATCATAATAAATACCATCTATAACCACCAAAGTAAATGACATTGAAGCATCTAGCTATAGATGCAGTATTGCAATGATATTTGAATTTCTGGATATTTCTTGACTTTGAGAAAATGTAAGGGTTGTGGTCTGACTTGTAGGTTTTCTATAGGCCTCTGTGCCTGCTCTGTGCAACAAATCAGTCATCCTATAAAAAGGGAATTCTGGCATTTGCCTGCAACTCCATTCCTTAGTCCTAAGCCCTTGCCTTAATTCATTTCTCAAACTCAAATGCAGCCTGCCCTCCAGCCTTGCACTGCCTCCTTTCCTCATGTTCCCTCGCAATTCTAACATTTAATGCATAGTGCTGTTTTCCTGGCTTTGGTTTTGGGATGACCCTATTTATGTAGGGTCTCCCTCGGCTTATACTGCCTTAGCCAGCCATGCACAAACAACCTTCCCAGAAACTGACTGGCTCTGAGCTTCTAGTTAATAATAACAAAATCACTAAAGTGGTTGTTGTTTTTTAAAGATATTTTAATTGATTTCAGAGAAGAAGGACGAAAGGAAGAGAGAGAGAAAGATAGAAACATCAATGATGAGAGAGGATCATTGATTCCTGCAAGCCTCCCCCTGGGGATGGAGCCCACCACCCCAGCATGTGCCCTTACCCCCTGGTTCATGGGTTGATGCTCAACCACTGAGCCACGCCAGCCAGGCACTAAAGTTTGCTGAGCACTTACTCTGGGCTAGGAGCTTTGATCATAAATTATTTGCTTATAAGCTTATGTGCTCTATAAATTAATCCTTTCAACAATCCCAGGAAGTTGGTACTATTATCAAGGACATTATTACAGATAAGGAAACTGAGGCTTAGGAAGGTTAAGCCACCTGCCCAAGGCTGCACAGGATCCATTGTGGTGCAGCTGGACTTCAGGTTTTTTCTGAATCTAAAACTTGTGTCACTCTGTGGGCAGGATGTGGACAGTTCTGTGTGAATATTTAAACTGCAAGTTCAAAACAACAACATTAAAGATGTGTATTGGTCAGGATTGGGCAGGGGAGCTGCATCACTATGAGTATTACAGCATAAGAGATAAATTAGATGCAGTGGTTCTCAACCTTCTGGCCCTTTAAATACAGTTCCTCATGTTGTGACCCAACCATAAAATTATTTTCGTTGCTACTTCATAACTGTAATGTTGCTACTGTTATGAATCGTAATGTAAATATCTGATATGCAGGATGGTCTTAGGCGACCCCTGTGAAAGGGTCATTCGACCGCCAAAGGGGTCGCGACCCACAGGTTGAGAACTGCTGCATTAGAGGAATCAGACCTTCCACAATTGTGGGAGGAGCTGGGGAGGTGAGGACTAGAGGAGTCACCTACCAGTTGATCTGAGAGATCAGGAACATTCAGTTGCTAACATGTGGTAGTGAGGGGAACTTTTAGGATGGCCCAGGTTTCCTCGGTGTAGCTCCTACCTCTGTGAATCAGGAACCAAGCATGTGGTGGTGGGACTGAGGCCACCATTGGTCAGCAGGGCCAGCAGTTGGGAAGAAGAGCTGGAAGTGGAGCAAAGGAGGTTGAGCATATACTTGAACCTATTAGATTATCTTCGTGACCATGCATCACTGCATGCAATGATGTCCTTCAGAGAACAGTGGCTGCTGTTTCCCACCTGTTTTCCAAGTCTCACATATGTTTCTCTTTGGCCAACTCTTTCCTGAAACCATACAGGGATGGAGATTTGGGGAGACACAATTCCCAGAGTAACTAAGTTAACATAACACAATGTAGTATAGAGGTTATTCAAGGAAATTGAAAGAAGGCAAGGCTTGGATGTGTAGTCAAGGGCCTTGTGATGGTTAATTTTATGTGTCTACATGGCTGGGCCATGGGCTGTCCAGTTAGTTGGCCAAACATCATTGTGGGTGTGTTTTGGATGAGATTAACATTTGAATGGCTAGACTGAATAAAGCAGATTGCCCTCCCCAAGGTGGGTGGGCCTCATCAAATAAGTTGAAGACCTGAATGGAATAAGAAGGTTGACCTTCCCTTGAGTAAGAAGGAACCCTCTCGCCTGACTATTGAGTTGGGACACTGGTCTTTTCCTGCCTTTGGACTCAAACTAAAACACTGGCTCTTCTTGGATCTCGAGCCTGCTGGCTCTTCCACAAAATGCCGACTTCTGCGCATGGGTCAGGAAGTTTCAATCGCACTGTACGTGCGCGCCTGCACGTGGTATTTTGTGGAAGAGTCACACTCAAGGGGCCAAAGAGCCGCATGTGGCTTGCGAGCTGCAGTTTGCCGACCACGGGACTAGAACATACACCGTTGCCTATCCTGGTTCTCAGGCCTTTAAACTGAGACTGCAACTACACCATTGACTCTCTCCAGCTTGCCTACCTTAGATCTGAGGACTTCACAAGCTTTCAAAGTTGTGTGAACCTATTTCTTGTAATAAATCTCATTCTCTCTATATATACATCCTGTTTCCCTGGAGAACCCTAACACAGGCCTAGATTTCCCTTTCTGAGTAAAAAAAAAATCTACTTGGAAGTTCTTGGAAGAAATTGTGTACTTTTGGTTTGCATTTAATTGCTAAAGGTCAAAGCGTTCTGCTGTGGAAACTTGCTTGTAATTGAGTAATTTTGGAAAAAGAATCTTTTAGTTGGATGGAATTTTCCTTGCAGAACGTGCTAATGGCTTTGGACATTTGAAGCAGCATCTCTTTGCTTCTTTGGAGCTGTGAGTGAGTGCAGAAGCCTGAAGATGCCTTGGGAGGCTTTCCTCTCTGTTCTCTGGAGAGGGAGGTCACGCCCAGCACCCTTTTGGTGATGTTATTACATGAACAAACGCTTTCATGAAACATTTAAACATCCTTTTTTTAAAACACCAGGCGACCTCTGTTTTACTGTGGTCCTGCTAAGTCCCAAAATTACAGTCTTCGAGAACTGGAGGGAATCATGGAAATAATGTAGTCAAAATTTTTCCAAATTGTGTTCCATGGAACATATATTCCTAAATGTTCGTAGGTGGACCTTGAAAAAAGGGATTCTATGATCAAGTCGGTTTGAGAAGGGCAGCACACACTCTCCCTTTTGGAGAATCCAAACGCACGTTAATAAAGTTTGAGCCCAGCCAGCATGGCTCAGTGGTTGAGTGTCAACTGTGAACCAGGAGGTCACGGTTCAATTCCCGGCCAGGGCTCATGCCCCGGTTTCAGGCTGGATCCCCAGTGGGGGGCGTGCAGGAGGCAGCCAGTCAATGATTCTCTCTCATCATTGATATTACTATCTCGCTCTCCCTCTTCCTTCCTCTCTGAAATCAATAAAAATATATTAAAAAATAAATTAAAGAATAAAGTTTGAGACACCTCTTAGTCTTTGAGGTGGAGACATCAAGTAGGCAGTGGGAAGGTGGGTCTGGATTTCAGGGACAAGGTTGAAGTTGGATACATAGGTTTGCAATTTAACATGTTTAAAACCATGAGAGCAGATGATATTTCTCAGGAGAGAGTGTAGAAGAAATAAGAGTATGTGAGGTCTGGAGGTGCCATAGCTCACAGGTGACCGTGAAGGGAGGACCTGAGGATGGAGCCAAGACTCGGAAGATGGCACTGCTGAGCCAAGTGACCAAGAGAAACCAGGATACTGTTGGCCATAAGTAAAGCCACTAAAGCTGACTTTACCATTGTACTTTTCAGCTACAATGCCAGTAAATTCTTTTTTAAGTTTTTATGTCATATCTCATGGAAAGAGTTCCGACTACTAGGACATTTCCCAACCTCTTTTGCACACGTATCTCTGTCTCCTCCTAGTCTCTGTTTCCCCATCCGCTTACCTGTCCTGGAGGAGAATCAGCTGAACCTAAGATGTCACCCCCACCTCGAGGTGCAAAGGGAAAGAAAGGACTTGCCCCAGCCAGTGTCGGTTGTCAACATTTCAGGCATGAGTGCAGGAATCAGTTAAGAATTGGTTAATATGGTTAAGGATTTTATTTTTACTTTTGGGTTGTTGGCAACCAACCAAAACCGACTCTGGCTAATTTAAGCCAAAGAGGGACTCCATTGGATGATTCACTAGGCTGCCCCACAAAATCAGAGACAGAGCTGAGCAAGCTGCACAACAGACTGGAGAAGGGAGGAGCCAGAGTCGCCCGGGGGAGCCTCCCTGGGCTCTCACCAAATCCCTCTCTGGGCCATTTCCAAATGGTGCGACTACCAGGCCAGCGCTCTCGGTGTTCAACCTTGAGATGACCAGGACAGAGAATAGACTTGAGGGGCGACAGGGTAAGGCGAGGAGGGAGAGAAGGCAAAGGCCTTTGGCCCTGGTTCCTGCGAGTGCACTCTGCATATCTGAGAGGCTTGGGGACTGGCCAGGAAGGGTCTGCTGTAACCTCTGAGGAAGGAGCCACCCCTAGGCCTCTCCAGGTTGCCTGCGGCCTAGAGGTGATGAAGAATAACCTCTGTGTCCAGCCGCCGTGGCTCAGTGGTCGAGCATCGACCTACGAACCAGGTCATGGTTTGATTCCCAGTCAGGACCTATGCCCGGGTTGCGGGCTTGATCCCTAGTGTGGAGTGTGCAGGAGGCAGCCGGTCAATGACTTCCTCTCATCATTGATGTTTCTCTCTCTCTCTTCCCTCTCCCTTCTTCTATGAAATCAATACAAAAGAAAATTAAAAATAAATAAAAAGAATAACCTCTGTGGGCTTCAGGGCTCTTAAGGCCCAGTGAGTGCACCTGGGGAAAGGCTTCCTTCAGTGCTTTTGGTTTTCAGGCCTCACGCTGTCCCAGATTCTGCCCAGGTTGGTCTCTCTGACATCTTTACTCTATATTTTTTTTCCTTAGTGTGTGCTTTCAGCCTTAGGAAACCTCCCTTTCACTCTACTTTCTCTTCTCCTCAGAGTTCCCACCCGCTATAGCCTGAGTGTTCGTCCCCACCCCCCAACTCATATGTTGAAAATGAATCCCCCATGTGATGGTAATAGGAGGTGGGGGCCTTTGGTAGGTGTTAGGTCAGGAGGGTGGAGCCGTTATGAGTGGGATTAATGATCTTATAGAAGAGGTTCCAGAGAGATCGCTCGCCCCTTCTGTCGTGTGGGGTTATAGTGAAAAGATGGCTGTGAAGTGGGCTCCCACCAGACCCCAGATCTGCTGGTACCTTGACCTTGGACTTCCAGGCTCCCGAACTATGAGAGACAAATTTCTGTTATTTCTAAGCCACCCAGTCTGTGGTATTTTTTATAGCAGTCAGAACAGACTAAGACACCACCTTTAAAAAAATGATTCTTATTTTAAAAATAATCTTTATTATTAAAAAATAATTATTCAGTCCTGGCCAGGTAGCTCAGTTGGTTAGAGTGTAGTCCTGATATGCCAAGGTTTCAGGTTCTATGAATGCATAAATAAGTGGAACAACAAATTGGTGTTTCTCTAAAAAATCAATTTAAAATTTTTTAAAAAAGTATTCAAATAGTACCAAAGATTTTTCAATGCAATCTTTTCCCTGTGCTACTTCTTATCTCTTGCCAGAAGCAATTACTATCAGTGTGCTGTGTATCTTTCCAGATGTAAATAGCCTATGTTTATGTCTCTATATACAAACCCAGGCTATTTTATTTGTAAACACAGAAGAGCAGATTATACACACTGTTGAGTACCTTTCATTTTCTGCTCAGCGATGTGTTGCTCATATCAAAACACATCTGTCTCACCCTGGCCGGTGGGCTCAGTGGTTAGAGTGTTGACCTGTGGACTGAAGAGTCCTGGGTTCAATTTAGGTCAAGGGCATCTACCTGGGCTGCAGGTTCATTCCCGGTTGGGGTGGGTAAGGGAGGCAACCAATTGATGTCTCTCTCACATTGATGTTTCTCTCTCTCTCTCTCTCTCTCTCTGTCTCTCTCTTCACATTCCTTCCTCCCTTCCACTCTCTAAAAAATCAATAGGAAAAATATCCTCAGGTGAAGATTAATAAAAACAAACAAACAAAAAAACCACTCCTGTCTTATTCTTTTTTATGGCTGTGTAGTATTCCACTCCGAGGCCCCCACTGATGGGCAGGTTTTTGCAAATACAAATGATACTGCAGTGAACACCTTTGTAAAGGGTGTCCCAAAATTCATGCAAGAAGTAATTTTGATAGAAAACACAGGTTTATAATTAAAAATTGTAAATTTTTTATTGATTCATAAAGTATACAGTATAGGGTTATGTATGGAATAGCACATCGGGTAAATGGCCTCCACAGCTTTGCTGGCACATACACAAAGCCATGGTCTTCATTGGTCTTCATTGTCCCTGCTCCTGGGCCATCATTGGTACTTGGTAATGCTTATAAAATTGAAGGGATTGAAATAAAAGGGCAACAGATATTAGAATCTGATTCAATAAACCAAGTAAAATTAGGCTTTTATTTTTTTTTTTTGTTGTTGTTGTTAATGCTCACGCAAAATTCAAATCTTGCGTGAATTTTGGGACACCCTTTACATGTGACTTCAGGCACCTAAGTAAGCACATCTATCAGAAACAGCAGTGCTTTTTTTTTTTTTATTGTTTAAAGTATTACATATGTTTCCTTTTTCCTTGATTGACTCACCCCCCACAACAGTGCTTTCTTTTCCAAGAGTTATCAAAGCTTTGTTCTTCCAGTTTCCACCAGACTTCCCAGGCATTGCCCACATTGACTGCCTCCTCTTGTTTGTTTGTTTTTTTGTTAATCCTCACCCGAAGATATTTTTCCATTGATTTTTAGGGAGAGTGGAAGAGAGAGCGAAAGACAGAGAGAAACATCAATGTGAGAGAAACACATCAATTGGTTGCCTCCTGAATGAGCCCTGACCAGGGCCTGGGCTGAGGAGGAACCTGCAACCTAAATACGTGCCCTTGACCAGAATCGAACCCGGGACCCTTTGGTCTGAAGGCTGACGCTCTATCCACTGAGCCAACTCGGCTAGGGTGACTGCCTCCTCTTTCTCTCTACTCTCTAAATATCTACAATATGGTGTCTATCTGCTGACACACTCAGAGGCTACCAATGACCTTAGCGTTTCACCTCTGACTTTTCCATAGACTTTGACCCTCACTACTCATCCTGTCCTGAAACTCCCTTTTTGCCTGGCTGTTTTGGTGAGATAATCTTTGTCCTCCTCTTTCTCTAATCATGCTTCTCCTGTGTCCTTTACCTGCCTTTCAAAAGTCCCATTTGACTGGAGCTTGAGGGAGTGGAACCCGCTGGGCCAGCCCTTTCAGCTCCTGGCTATCCCACACAGGCTTCCGCTTGGACCCCAGAGGAGTGTAAGGTTTTGATCAATGTCCAAGTCCAAACTCTCCTCAAGGCTCAAGTCCTTCATTAAAAAAAAAAAAAAGGTGCTAGTCCGGCCAGTGTGGCTCAATGATTGAGCATCGATCCATGAACTAGGAGGCCTTGGTTAGATTCCCAGTCAGGGCACATGCCCGATCCCCAGTAGTGGGCATGCAGGAGGTAGCCGATCGATGATGTTTCTCTCTTATCGATGTTTCTCTCTATCCCTCTCTTTTCATCTCTCTCTCTAAAAATCAAGAAAGGAAAAAAAAAAATTAAAAATACTCCAAACATCTTTTCCTTCAACCCTCAGGCCAGTTTAGCTTTTACCCTAGACTTCCCTCTTTCGGTCAGAATTCTGGAATTCTCCCTAGGTTCACAACCTGGTAGGTGTGCTTGATACCCCTTTCCCTCGTTCACTTTCCATCAGTTCCGACTATGCTTTGGGGTTCCATGCGTGAATTTTGATCCCCTTTGTTAGACTGTATGTTTTTAAGGGGCACAGGCTTTGTCTTACCTAGCTCCCTGCGGCCTGTCACACAGCTCAGCTCATAAACAGATGCACCAAATAAGGTTATAGAACCTTCTGCCTGGTGCCTCAGGCTTGTCTACATCTTGCAACTGTCACCTGGCTGAGACATTGTCACTATAAATAAGCAGTTTCTGTTTCAGGTACGGCTTGCCCCTGATATTGACACTCCATCTCTTACCCCACCCAAGCCTCACACGACGAATCGGGAATTAGAGTTGGTATTCAAATCTTTGGCCGCAGTACAGAGAGGCATCCCTATAAGCACAGAGCCATCGATGTGAGCTTCTTTTATTTCCTCGAAGTTGTTCGACGTGGTAGCTGCTGTCATTCCACTTGCTGGGGAATTCTTGAAGAGATTTTGCTTGTCTTTCCATGCGGTTCTCTCTGTGGTTTCTTTGTTTCTTTTTGTGATCAAGTTCCAGATGGCTCAACAGTGCCCTCAACATGAATATTTTGACAGATTGCTGAATGCTTGCAAACCGTGTCACCTTCGGTGTTCTAATACCCCTCCTCTCATATGTCAGCGTTATTGTAATACAGGTAAGTACTGCTGCTTGAACAGTTATTCGTTGGTGTGAAGTATTCTCTCTATACTAAGTGTTTATTCAAAGAATAAACATTACAGGGAAGGTGGTGAGATTTTCTGACTCCAAAAAGAGAAAGGTAATGAGGCCGTTATTTAAATGCCAACAGGAATAATTATTCAGAGCTGAACTCAACTTCATGCAGCACTGTTAGCAACCCAGTATTTTATCAGCTCTTCTAATTAAGTGCTATTTAGAATTGGAAAGTCAATGCTGATGAATTAGGGGAATTGGATAGCAAGTAATCTTTACTTGATGTAGATGTTATCGGTTCATTCTCTCTCTCTGACATTTCTTTTAACTCAGTGAAAGGAACAAATGCCATTCTCTGGACCTGTTTGGGCCTGAGCTTGCTGCTGTCTTTGACAGTTTTCGTGCTGATGATCTTGCTAAGGAAGATGAGCTCCGAACCATCAAAGGACAAATTTAAGAGCACAGGTTAGTTTGGTGGCCAATCTTAGAAATCTGTTTCCCAGGGGTGGCTTTTGCGAGTTTCAGTTCCTTTTTCTTTTTTTACACTGAAGATTTCATTAGGTTGGAGCCCTTTTGAGTGTGTCAGAGGACAGATACGTGAAACGCACTTCTCTCCTGTGTTTGCACCTTCTTTGCAGGGGTCCTACAGTGTCAGCCTCCTCCCGTGTTCTTCCCTTGAAAATCACTCTTTTGAATTACTGAGGCTTTCTTGGCAAACGTCCATCTTTTTGATCAAAGTTCACACATTGACTAAATGTCACTGCTAGCCAGGTCTGCTACGATCAGGAAAGGTGTATTCGGCACGGTCCGTGGCCACGTTTTTAATACGAATATGTGTTATTTGCTTGGGTGAACATTCTACTGCTGAAAAATGTTAGAACTGCATAACCAGTTGCTCCTGGGTTACATAAGCAATCATCTCAAAGATTAGCATCTTTTTAATCAGTAGAGAACCAGTCCCAGAGGACTGAATGTTCCAGAGAAGTGATTGTTCCTTAACACCCTCAAGGTCTGAAGGGCTTCTTAAGATAAAACTACTTCTGCGGCACCTTTGCTTACTATCTGATTCCCAAACACTCTGCAGCCCCTGCCCTATTTCTTTCTGCATTTTTGTGCACAATCTGCAAAGCATCCACCTTATTCACTGTCCTGTGCAGGAAGGAGAGGTAAATGGTTGTCTTATATAACTTACTCATTTTTATTTTTGTTTTGCTTGGAATTTGAGGAACAGGTGGGGAAAGATGTCTAAGTCTGATGTTTTGGAAGATGGAGTTATACTGTGGAAGGTTGGGGAAATAGTAAAACATCTTCACAGGCATATGGTGGGGGCATAATGGAGGCTCCTTCCTTATGTCATCATGGAGAGTCATTAAATTTTTTTAATCTGACACAAAGCGTGAAAAGAGAAGCATCTTTACTTTGAATTCTAACGTGTTACTATAGGCTGATTTTGGTGTGCTGTAACATATGGTAATTTGTGTAAAATAAGATCAAGGCCAGTCTAGATTTGTATGTAAAATCGCTTGATTTTTAAAAATACTTTTATTTTAATTCAAGAGCGAGAGCCAAAAGGTTCGCCATCACTGCTATAGGCTGATTTTGGTGTGCTGTAACATATGGTAATTTGTGTAAAATAAGATCGAGGCCAGTCTAGATTTGTATGTAAAAATCACTTGATTTTTAACAATACTTTTATTTTTTTAATTCAAGAGCGAGAGCGAGCAAGAGAGAGACATTGATGTGAGAGAAACATCTATTGATTGCCTCCCACACACCGGGAATTAAACCTGCCACCTCTTGGTGCACAGACAAGACTTCTACCACCTGAGCTACACCGGCCAGGGCGATCACTTGATTTTAAAATGTGGGTCAACATAAGCAAACACGTAAAAACACTCTATGCCCTACAGCATGTCTTTGAGCCTCTTGTGTCCTGTGGCCTGTTAGTTCCTGGCTTCTAGTGTCGGACATACTCATTGGTTTTGTAGGGGAAGATCTGTCTGGCACGGCTTTCAGCCTGAGGTGTACTGCTAAGACTGTCACAACCACACCCCCTGGGAAGTTCAGGTTCATTTTTCTGTTTCTGTGTAATCAGGATCGCCTCTCCAGAACAAGGCGAATGCTGACCTGGATGATAGAAAAGCTAGCAGGACCGGTGAGGAAATTCTTTCCAGAAGCCTGGAGTACACAGTAGAAGACTGTACCTGTGAAGACTGTGTCAAGAGCCAACCAAAGGTTGATTCTGACCATTTCTTTCCACTGCCAGCAATGGAGGAAGGCGCAACCATCCTTGTCACCACGAAAACGAACGGCTACTGCAGTGGCCTGCTCGCTGCTGAGAGTCTCACAAGGATGGAGAAATCCATTTCCACCAGATAATTAACCATTTGGAGTGATGCAGAGCTACTTTGAAAATGTTTTGTCAGAGGAAAGGATGGGGTATCAGGTGTCTTTAGGATGACTGTTATCAGTGGCCGATAGAGCTTTCTGTCCTCTAATTCTAGAAAATCATTATGTTCGATATATTTCTCTACCTTACTGTTGGGAGCTTAACTGTGGAAACTTCATTGGTTTCAATGATTAAATTCTTGACTCACTGAAAAAAAGGACTGCAATGTGTAGATCCCATAGTGACGCCTTTCTGCGGCTGGACCACTTCCCTCCTATACATGCACATATGCACTTCAGAACAATTGAATTTTTCTCTTTATGGTTAAAGGCAAGCAAGGTTGTTTTGTGTACTTCTGTAGATGGGAGAAGCCTAGAGTCAGCCGCGCTAATTCAGTGTGCAATGACCTTGTGAGTTTCCAGTCTACTGGAGGCCTCAGGCATTATTATAATCATATAAATACGGATCGAATTACAAACTGCGATTAAAGTTTACTAGGTATAATTTTCAGACCCAAATGCAGGTAGTAATGATCGCTACCACTTATATCGTTACTAATGTGCAGGGACTGTTCTAAGTGCTTTACCTGTACTAACTTATGTAATGCATACAATAAACTACAAGGTGGGTGGTCCACCATCATCTCCATTTTACAGATTATGACAGAAACTAAGGCAGAGCAAAGTAACATAGCCAGTAAATGGCAAAGCCATGATTTAAACCCAGACATCATGATCTCTTTCTTTTTTTTCTCTTCACATCAACTTAGTTCCATTTCCGAGTTCCCCATCTGTTTGGGTTACAGTCTTAGTCATTATAGGGCAGGGGGAGGGTTCCTCTTCTGGGGTTGTGCAAAGCTCCTCATGGAAAGGCTATGCAACAGATGCTGCACTGTGATAATCAATTGACTTTGATCATTAAGATGCCCATTGGCGCCACAGCATAGATCTTCAAGGTCTTGGGGCTTTGGGGCTTTTGTGTCAGGATGGGGATATGGGAAACCTTGGCGGGATCTTTTTACCCATTTGGGGCCCATCATGGCTCCATTTCAGGCCCTTGAGGGCCACAGGAGACAAAACAGTATAGTGGTTAAGGCACTGGTTCTTAGAGCCCGACTGCCTGGGTTTGAATCCTGGCTCTGTTAGTAGAAGTTACTTAACTACTCTGTTACACGAACACACACATTTTCCCCCCATAAAAGTATCTGGTTCATAATAAGCAATTCGGTTAGTTACACTGCTATGATGATTTTTATTAGTTCCTTTGAGGTCGAGTCTGAGGGCAGCCACACACTCCTTTAATATTATATTGCTCCTAGCTGCTCCTTATCCCCTCACACCCAGTATAACCTCCTCAATGAATTTAGATTTTTCAAAAGTTGATGTTAGGCTTTTGATTCCTGGTCTTCCAGGACCAGGCTAAAGTCTCGGGAAGAAGGAATTATAACACTTCGAGGAGATGGTTGGTGGTAGAAAACATTAAGCACACACTACAATTTCAATAACATATCCTGCATCAGGTGATGTGAAGGAAAGGTGCAGGGTGCGATGAGAAAGTATAACAGCATCCTCGCCACAGCTCCATGAAACAGGTATGTGAAGGTCTACCAAAGGTTACAAGGGGTAGGCAGGCCTAAGCTAGGTTTTCTAGGGGAGGATTCAGACACATCCACTCTTTAACTAGAATAACAAAGGAGCAACTGTCAAGTATAATTTTGAAAATGGGAAAGCAACCCCACCAAGCAAACACACAAGTATTTTCAACTACAGTTGAAATATATTAGTTTCAAGTATACAACATAGTGATTAGACATGCAGATAACTGACAAAGTGATTACCCCGATTAGTACCCATCTGACAACTATTTTCATTTTTAAATTCTCCCTACACATGGCTGTATTTTGACAAAATTGTCATCATGGTGTGTACAGACCATTTTGCATGGGGCTGTTTTAAACTTAATGTCTTATCAGCGGCCTTTCCCACTTTCTCATAATCTTTATAATTAATTTTCAATTACTGCAGAGATTCCTTATGAGGTGCGCCATGATTTGCTCAGCTACTCTACTGTAGTTGGGCTTTGGTGCTTTCCACTATTATAAAAATATATTTTTATTGATTTCAGAAAGGAAGGGAGAGGGAGAGATAGAAACATCAATGATGAGAGAGAATCACCCATCAGCTACCTCCTGCACGCTCCCCACTGGAGATTGAATCTGCAACCAAGGCACGTGCCCTTGACTGGAATTGAACCCGGGACCCTTCGGTCCACAGGCCAATACTCTATCCACTGAGCCAAACTGGATAGGGCAACTTTTTCATTATTATAAAAAAACTAGAGGCCCGATGCATGAAAATTCATGCAAGACATGAATTGAGATCAACCTCCCCCCGGCTGCCAGCACCAGCTTCCCTCCAGCACCCAGGACCCGGTGGCTTCCCTCCGGCCCCGGCTTTGTCTGGAAGGAGGTCCGGTCAAATTAGCATATTACTCTTTTATTATTATAGATGCTCCTGAGCATCATTCTCCAAAGAGCTCTTGACCTCTGCTGAGTCCAAAAGTAAATTCCCAGGGGCCAGAGATTACATTTTGAGAGGCAATGTAGCAGAAAGGCCATGCTGGAATTCTGGCTCCTTTTCCCAGTGGGACTTGGTCCGAAACTCAGTGTTTTCAACTGTGTTTCAAGGCATATTTGTGGATCAATTCTCTCAGTCAGCATTTAAAAAAAAAGTAGGCTCTCCTTTCCAGGAGCATGCCCCCATCCTCCCCTTTCCCCTCCTCCACCCCCTCCCTGAGGGGGGAAAAAAGTAAAGTACAAGAGAATACATTAAGTTCAGAATTGTTGTGTTAATTATTTAAATGAACGCATGTGTGTATTGAGTTGTGATGAAAAGGTACTCTTTTACTCTGGGTTGCAGGCAAACACGTTGAGCAAATGCTCCTTTAATATTTCTTGGTCTCCTAAGCCCCACCTGGAAGATGGGGCAGTAAAATGGATTCTTAAGATTGTTGTGAACATGTGTTCACACATGATGATCTATTTTCATCTCCACTGCCACCATGTTAGCCCCACGCACTATTCTCTCTTGCTGGACAATTGCAATGCCCCCCTAACCAGCTGCCTCCTCTCCACTGTCCTGCTACAATTCATTCTCAAACCCTAAGAATAATCATTTAAAAACCTAATTCAGACTGTGTCATTCCTCTGCTTAAATTCTTGCAATGGCTTTCTATTCCCTTACCTACTGTGAGTGAAAAGGGGCCACATGCCAATCTGACTAACTCAGGGAAGGCCTGTGTGGCTGCCTTGCAAACTCAGAGACCTAAAGTAACCACAAGTGATGGTCTGAAATTAAAACTTTAAATTAAAAAGCAGTTTAGCCCTAGTTAGTTTGGCTCAGTGGGTAGAGCGTTGGCCTGCAGACTGAAAGGTCCCAGGTTCGATTCTGGTCAAGGGCACATGCCTGGGCTGCAGGTTCAATCCCTAGTAGGGGGCGTGCATGAGGCTGCCAATCAATGATTGTCTCTTATCACTGATGTTTCTCTCTCTCTCTTCCTCTCTGAAATCAATAAAATTATATATTTCAAAAAAGCAGTTTATAGTGGGTAGTCATGTCCTAGGTTGGTATCTTCCCTGATAGAGATCAACTTTGATCTTAACTGAGCTTATTTAGTCTTTTAATTGTTTAAAGAATTACATGTCTCCTTTATCCCTCCATTGACCTCCCCTCCTCCCCTTCCCTCTCCCAGTCCCCAGGACAAGCCCCCACCGCCCCAGTGTCTGCGTCCATTAGTTTTGTTAATATGCATGCATACAAGTTCTTTGGTTGATCTCTTACCCCTCCACCGCTTCTCTGCCTTCTCTCTGAGGTTGGAGGGTCTGTTCAGTGTTTATCTCTGGATCTATTTTTGTTCATCAGTTTATGTTGTTCATTATATCCCACATATGAGTGAGATCATGTGATATTTATCTTTCTCCGACTGGCTTATTTCGCTTAGCATAATGCTCTCCAGGTCCTTCCATGCTGTTACAAATGGTAAAAGTGCCTTCTTTTTTATAACAGTGTAGTATTCCACTGTGTAGATGTACCAGTTTTTTCATACACTCATCTGCTGATGGACACTTAGGCTGTTCACAAATCTTAGCTATGGTGAATTGTGCTGCTGTGAACATAGAGGTGCATATATCCTTTCTGATTGGTGTTTCTGGTTTCTTGGGATATACTCCCAGAAGTGGGATTTCTGGGTCAAATGGGAGTTCCATTTTTAAGTTTTTTGCATCTAGATAACATACCTTTGGAATGTCACCAGTAACTTGTACCTTCCCTTTTTCCAGACCCCTTAGAGCACAATCAGTGTGCAAATCCCCTCAATGTTACTGTTATCCTTAATTGTTGACTGTGAACTATCCTATACCCACCTGTGTAAAAGAAGCATGTGTTTATCATTTTACTTTTTTTCCAATCCCAGAGGTTTTCCCGCTTTGCTTTCTACCACTTCCCTAATCTATCACCAATGGATTTCACGTAACCCACTTACTCTCCTCCTTTGATGGTAATTTATAAAAATAGGTTGAAAAACTGCCATTTTCCGGAGCATTATCTCAATACATTGAGATTCTGCTTCCCAGCAGTTGTTGACAGTTTGGCTCAACTAAACGCATAAAGATTCTTTACAGGTTTGAATGTTTCTTATGCTAACACTACTTAAGAGTTAGGTTGAAAAGTCCAAACTCCTTACAATGGCTTGCAAGGCTCTCCACCCAACTCTTTATTATTTTTAAATTTTATTGTTGAAAGTGTTACATAAGTCCCCCTTTCCCCGTCCCTCCCCCTTCATCTCCATTAACCCCACCACCCGCAACCTCCGCCCCAGGCACTCACCTCCCCACTGTCTGCATCCATGGATTATGCACATATGCACAGGTCTTTGGTTGATTACCTCCACCCACCCACCCAGCCCCACCTTCCCTCTGAGATTCAGCACTCTTGTTCCAAGCTTCCATGTCTCTGGATCCACTCCCTTCATCAGCTTATTTTGTTAGATTCCACATGAGTGAGATCATGTGATACTTGTCTTTCTCTGACTGACTTATTTCACTTAGCATGAATACTCTCCAGGTCCTTCCATGCTGTCTCAAAGGTTAAGAGACTCTTCTTTTCTACTGCTGCATAGTATTCCATGATATAAATGTACCACAGTTTTTTTATCCACTCATCTACTGATGGACACTTGGGCTGTTTCCAGATCTTAGTCTATTTTGTCAGATATGAGTATTGCTATTCGTTTTGTTTTTTCCCCCACCTCCACCCAACTCTTGATCTCTACTACCCTTTTCTCACTCACCCTCTCCCTCCAGCCAATCCCTCTAGGCAGGGCCTTTTGCACTTGTTCCTTTCCTGCAGATCTTCCCCGCTGTCTCCTTATCATCCTGGTCTCAGCTCCTTAGAGAGGCCCGCGGGGACTGCCCATCTCCCTGTCCCCACGCTTTGGCCCATTACTCTTTTCCTTTCTCAGCTTCTAGTGCTGTCTGGCGTCGCCTCATCTCGGGCCTTCCTTGTTTACTGTCTGGCTTTCCGGCAGAGGTGTGAGCCCAAGAGGGCGGGGAGGCGTCCTAATCATCCCGCTGCACCCCAGGACGGACCACCACGTGTCTCCACGGAGGTTCCAGTCCGCCTCCCGGCTCCCGGCCCCGCGCCGGCGTCGGTGTTTATGTTCCGGGTCGGGGGGCGGGGCCACAGCG